CGGCCGCGCTGCGCGAGGAGGAGGCTTCGCGCGAGCTGGAGGCGCTGCGCCGCCAGGCGGCGGCAGCTGGTGAGCGCGCTGCCGCGCTCGAGTCAGAGCTGCGCTCCGCGTCGGCGGCGCTTGCGGCGCTGTCCGTGTCGGCGGCGGAGTCCGACGCGCCCGGCGCCGCGGCGGCGGCCGGGCTGCAGGCGGCGCGTGAGGAGGTGGCAACGCTGCGGGACCGGCTGGCAGAGGCGGAGTCGGCGGTGGCGCAGGCGCGGGTGCAGCAGCAGCAGCAGCATGAGCAGCAGCAAGCAGATGGAGGGACATCTGTGGATGGAAGCCAATCCTTTCCCGGCCATGCAGCTGCGACAGGCACAGGCGTGACCACGACCGTCCAGGAGGCAGCGGCCGCGGCTACCCTTCCGGAGGTCAAACGGCTCCAGGCGGCTGTGCGCGAGGCAGAAGCGGCGGCGGAGCGCGCCAGCCGCGACGCACAGGCGGTGACAGCGCAGCTGGCGGCCGCGGAGGAGCGGGCGGCGGCCGCGGAAGCGGCGGCGTCGGCGGCCGCGGAGCGCGCGCGGGCGCTGGAGGCGGGGGCGGCTGATGCAGGGGCGGCAGCGGCGTCGTTGGAGGCCGAGCTGCGGGTGAGGACATGCGCGCTACTGGAAGCTGCTGGCCTGAAATCTGTGCTGGTGGATTGGGGGTGATGCGCATGGAGAATGGTGCCATCTTGTGCAGCACACCCTTACGGCAACCCTCCCCAGCGCCCCAGGCCCGACCCTGCGGGTTAGAAAATAGGTGACGCCCATCTGCCAAAATTCGGGCTCGCAGCCTGGCGCGCCCTGCTCTGCGCCCCATGCCCGCTACGCACCTGCCCTGCGTCGCTCCCAGGAGGCGAGGGCTGCGGCGGCGGCGCTGGAGGCTGGCGCGCGAGCCGCGGAAGAGGTGCGGGCGCCTGGGATGCAGGAGGCCTTCGGGAAGGTGCTGCTGTGGCCTGCTTGGCTAAGAGTTTCGTGTATGCAGCTCGACACCGCGCATGTATTGCGCCCTTCACAGCTCTGCGCATGCGGGTTGGACGTGGGGCGCTGAATGTAGGGCGCGCGTCCGGCCGTCCCTTGACTGCGCCCTCCTCACGCGCGTGCGCACGCGCGCGTCAGGCGTGGTCCGCGCGCCTGCAGGAGCAGGGCGCGGCGCTGGCGGGGGCGCGGTCCAAGATCCGCGCTGCACGCCTGCGTGAGGACGCGGCCTCCGCGGCGCTGTCCGAGCAGCGCGCGTCCTTGACCGCGGCGGCCGCGGCCGCCGAGGCGGCGGCGGACGACGCGCGCGGGCGGGCGGCGGCTGCGGCAGCGGCGGAGCGGGAGGCGCTGCGCAGGCTGGCGGGGACGGAGGCGTTTGCGCGCGATGCGGCGGCCGCAAAGGCGGCGGCGGAGGCGTACGCTGCTGATCTGCGTTTGCAGCTGGATGCCGCCAACACGCGGCTCGCCGGCGCGGAGGCGGCGACGGAGGCGGCGCGGGCGGAGGCGGCCGCGGCGAAGGATGCTGGAGCTGCGCTGGAACAGCGGGCGGCGCTGGCGGAAGAAGCTGCGAGGCAGCTGGCCGCAGATGTCGCGAGCGCGCAGGCGGCGCGGGCGGAGGCGGAGGCAGCGGCGACGGAGGCGGCGGCGCGGCTGAGCGCCGCGGCCGCAGAGGCGGCACAGGCGGCGGAGGCGGGGGCGTTGCGAGTGTCAGAGGCCGAGGGGCGGGCGCTGGACGCGCGCAGAGCGCAGGACGCGGCGGCTGAAGAATCCGAGGGCCTGCGCGCGGCGCTCGAGCAGGCGCAGGCGGCGGCGGCCGCGGCGGTCGAATCGGGGGCGCGGCCGCTGCAAGAGCAGCTGGCGGCGGCCACCGCGGCGCGCGACGCGGCGGCGGCGGCGGCGGCGAGCGCCGAGCAGCAGGCGCGGCGGGCGGAGGCGCAGCTGCGGGCCGCGGAC